TGACCATACCCTTTATTTCATTCATTATTATTTTATTCATTTATTCATTTTTTATTATTGTATTATTATTTATTATTTTATTCATTTATTATTATTATTATTATTATTTTATTCATTATTATTTTATTCATTACGAATTGTAACAGATCGTTTGATGTCACATCATCTGGCCTTTGTTCAGTGAGAGCCTGGAAACTGCTTTCCCTGGAGTTTCTGATATGAGCTCTTCATTCCCTGAGCACGTCTTGCATTTCTGGCTCTATGACTCATCTCGTTCTTTTCTCTCTCTCTCTTTTTTTTTAAGATTTATTTTATTTATATGAGTACACTGTAGCTGTCTTCAGACACACCAGAAGTGGGCATCGGAGCCCATTACAGATGGTTGTGAGCCACCATGTGGGTGCTAGGTTTGAACTCAGGACCTCTGGAAGAGCAGTCAGTGCCCTTAACCGCTGAGGCATCTCTCCAGCCTGTTCTTTTCTTGCTTCGGATTGGGAATAGTCATTTCTCCAAGGAGTCCTGATTTCTTATAATAATGATATTTTAAAAAATAAACACTGGGGAGGGGGCAGCAAGGTGGCTTAATGGGTAAAGACATTTGCAGCCACATTTGATGTTTGACTTGGATTCCCCTGAACCCACGTGTGGAAGGAGAGCACTGACTCCTGGAAGTTGTTCTCTGACCTCCTCGTCCACACCCTGGCATGCTGCCCACTCATACCCCAAGGTAAATAAAAAAAATATCGGGGCACTCAGATGTCATTATTTTCAGTCCCTACTGCTGGAGAAACCTAAAGGACACATACGTTTTCACTACACCTATCCCTAAATCTTTTGAATTGAGACTATATTTAGACCAATACCTGTGGAGAGCCGCATAGTGCCACACCTTAAGATGGCGCCGGTCTCTGCCTTCCACCACCTATTGGTGAGTGCTCTTAGGAGTAAACAAGTCCTTATTTGGCTGTGGCTGGTGATCTGGCTTGCTTCCGTGTATGTGGGCCTATCTGCTGTTGCCATTGATCCCAATGACCGGAGTAGGTTGACACCATAGGCCAGAGGCACACCATCCAGGATTAAAGGCTGTGAGTCAACCCCATGATGGGAATAGCGAGTGGCCATGACCTGGGTGCACATTCTTTTTCATATAGAATGCCAGGCGTGGGTGCAACCCTCGTAGCCTAAGACAGGGAACTCACCCTTCCTTATCGGAGTTTTGTCCTGTTGGTGCTGGCTATGAGGGCACGTCAACTAGCCTAAGACAGGGACATTGGCCAGTGCCTGCTCTTAAAAAATAAAATAGGGGGAGATGTAAGGAGCCGCCATTAGAAGATGGCGCCTGTTTCCTGTCTCTGAGGTGGAAAACAGCTGCATTCATGCTCACCTGCTGTGAGCATGCATATCTTTCAGACACGTCTCCTCACCCTCCCGAGCAGTATGTAAATGAAGTTCTGCAAGAAGCACCAATTAGACACTTATACACAGTTGTGATAACTATTTAAGCAGCACCCAGTTCAGGCTTCAGGGTCTTTCGCTTTACAATCAATGGTGTGTTCCCCAATAAAGTACGTGAGGAAGGATCCTGTTGTTTCATCATCCTTGCTGGCGAGGTGGGCGTGACAAATACCTCCATCACAGAGCTCATTCTGATCTGTTCCCTTTTCTGTCATTTAAGTCTCTTCTCTGACAATTATAGATGTCGTGTAATCAATATCCCAACCTTACCCCACTGTATAATAGATACCCTGCCCTCAGACTCCTCCGCCTCAGTGGGTAAGGGGCTGCTCTTTCCTCCTTTACTAGATGATGCCTTTAATGTGTCTCTTTTCTGAGGTACTATGCCAGTAATTCTTACCCTGGGAGTCAAATGATCCTTTCACAGGGGTTGTATATCAGATATTCTGCATATCAAAAGAGTTTATATTACTATACATAACAGTAGTAAAGTAACAGTTATGAAGTAGCAACGAAAATAATGTGATGGTTGGGGTCACCACAGCATGAGGAACCGTTAAGAGGTTGCAGCATTAGGAAGGTTGAGAAGTACTGCACTATACCAAAACACTGTCCTGAGAGGAAGGAGGGCTCATTTTGGTTAGTTTGTTGTTTCTTTCCTTTTTGAGAAAGGGTCTCCCTATGCTGCTCAGGCTGGCTAAAACTTTTCTTTTTATCATTTTGTTTTTTGTGCCTACTCCATAACCCAGTCTGGTCTTGAACTCTCAGCAAACTTCCTGCCTCAGCCTCTTGAGTGTTGAGAATACAATGCTAGCCCACCATACCCAGCTTGGCCTGGGACTTTCTATTTAGCTTGGGAGGCCTTGAATATTTCAGGTCTCTCTGCCTTTTGAGTGCTGGGATTATGTTTGCCATCATACCTGGCATGTAGAGCGCTGCTGCCATGCCTTAAAGATGGTGCCGGCTAGCCCTTGCTGACTTGGAGTAACCAAGCCTTGTTTGGTCCTGGGGCAGTACTTCCTGGTGGCCTGATCTTGTGTCATGGGTCCT